CATGATCAGTAGTTATTATGTTGGGTTATTGCATGTTCAGTAGTTATTATGTTGGGTTATTGCATGTTCAGTAGTTCAGTAGTTATTATGTTGGGTTATTGCATGATCAGTAGTTCAGTAGTTATTATGTTGGGTTATTGCATGTTCAGTAGTTCAGTAGTTATTATGTTGGGTTATTGCATGATCAGTAGTTATTATGTTGGGTTATTGCATGATCAGTAGTTATTATGTTGGGTTATTGCATGTTCAGTAGTTATTATGTTGGGTTAATGTATGATCAGTAGTTATTATCAGTGGCGGTCTTAACATAGAGGCATAGGTAGGCGGCTGCTTGGGGCCCCCTACCAGCGGTCGTAGTAGGGGGGCCCCCAACCAACCTCAAAAAAATATATATAAAAGAAAAGAAAAAGCCCCTTATCATCATGAACGCTTCAAACGCATAGTAAATGTTATTAATATTCTTAAGAAATACGTTGAAATGTTGAAGTAGTAGTTAAAATGTCCAGTTCATGGTTATCTGTCCCTACACATAACACCCCCTACTTTCGCAATAAAATGGACTCGTCCGTAACTGTGCGCGGCGCGAAACCGCGAAAGATAAACATGACAGGAGGACTGGGAAGTACACAACGAAGCAAGACGACTCTAAACGCGAAAATGAAACGAAGTTACCCAAGCGGCTCAAATAAAAGAAAAAAAGACAAAAGACGCCGATATGTATTTGGTAACGCTGCCAAAAATGACAAACTTTTTTACGCCTACTGTTGGGGACACATGCCGCTACAGCAGCAGCTGTGAAGTGACGCTAGTTGAGGATAACGTGTAAGTTATACTGTTAGACTGAAAGGGCGAAAGTAAATATGACATTTATTATGGGTTTGTCTGATGATTTTAAGTTCACGTAAATTAAAAGTTGTTATATATTTTTTGAAGCCTAACAAAATGTAAATTTGTTGGCTTTCAATTACACTGTAATGTTGGATGGCTGGCTATAATTAATGTTTAAAATTAGGGGAAAAAAATCATTGTTATCCAGACATTAATAGCTGTATTAGTATCAGTGATAATGACCTTCATTCATAAAAAGATGCCATTAAACAAGTATTTAAAATATACTGTCTTTATGTTGTCTCTACATTCATTTGTAGATTAACTGTGAAATTATTACATTACAAAATATACAAACTAATACAAACATATAAAAATGTTTGTTTGTAGAATGTTTTAAATGTCAATCTCATTTGCAATGCCAATTGCAACCTCACTCACTCATACAAAGTCAATTATTCATCTTGGCAATATTTGCTAAGTATATGGCTGTTTGTGGGGGTTTACCATAACTACTTGTCTTGCTGGTTATATTGATATGGATTTGATCTTAAAAAAAGAATAAACAGTGCTGGGTTTCCTGGCATTTTGGCAAAGACAGGTGTTATCTGAAACCTTATTCTCTGTTGGGAAGGGGTTTTTTTCTCCTCTCCAACCTTTACTTCCCTGTAGATTAGCTTTTCCTACCATTCAGTCAGTAATTTTTTTTTCCGTTCTCAAAGATGGGATGGGGGGCCCCCATACGTACCTTCGCTTTGGGCCCCCAATTTGCTAAATCCGCCACTGGTTATTATGTTGGGTTATTGCATGATCAGTAGTTATTATGTTGGGTTATTGCATGATCAGTAGTTATTATGTTGGGTTATTGTATGATCAGTAGTTATTATGTTGGGTTATTGTATGATCAGTAGTTATTATGTTGGGTTATTGTATGATCAGTAGTTATTATGTTGGGTTATTGTATGATCAGTAGTTATTATGTTGGGTTATTGCATGTTCAGTAGTTATTATGTTGGGTTATTGCATGATCAGTAGTTATTATGTTGGGTTATTGTATGATCAGTAGTTATTATGTTGGGTTATTGTATGATCAGTAGTTATTATGTTGGGTTATTGTATGATCAGTAGTTATTATGTTGGGTTATTGTATGATCAGTAGTTATTATGTTGGGTTATTGTATGATCAGTAGTTATTATGTTGGGTTATTGCATGATCAGTAGTTATTATGTTGGGTTATTGCATGATCAGTAGTTATTATGTTGGGTTATTGTATGATCAGTAGTTATTATGTTGGGTTATTGCATGATCAGTAGTTATTATGTTGGGTTATTGCATGATCAGTAGTTATTATGTTGGGTTATTGTATGATCAGTAGTTATTATGTTGGGTTATTGCATGTTCAGTAGTTATTATGTTGGGTTATTGCATGTTCAGTAGTTATTATGTTGGGTTATTGTATGATCAGTAGTTATTATGTTGGGTTATTGTATGATCAGTAGTTATTATGTTGTCTGGTGCGCGATATGTAAATGTCTCGTAACTTCTGAAGGTGTTTTATCTCTCTAGCTCAACACACTCTCTTTCTCTCGTTTCTTCCCGTTCTTCTGGTCTGATGTTGTCGTTCTTGATCGGTGATTTCCAGCACTGAATGTGTGTGTTTGTGTGTTTCAGGTTCATCTGACAGAACATACACAGATCTTCTCTGGTGAGTTCAGTCTGAGACATGCGGTTAAATCTCACATCAGTGATCAGGGCTGTTTATCTGTGTGTGTGTGTGTGAGCAGCTCTGATGTGTGTGACGTGAAGCTCTTACGCCCGTTTCACACATACTCCGTGTGCAGTGCGTATGCGGTGCGTGTTGCGGTGCGTATGCGGTACAGGAGCAGCACGCGCTATAGTGCTTTCACATATGCTGCGTGCGTTTGCAGTGCGCAACTGATCCGCGGCTGTACCACAAACACATTTACTCACTATTTGTATTTCAAAAAATCATCAATCAAATCAAGTTATCAGCAGCAAAAGTTTTTGCCTCCAGTGCAATTCTCTTTGTAGGCCTATTCACGTTTAAAACACAATTTAAACAACGTATTATTCAATGCAGTACTTTTATATAGGCCTAGATTATATATTAAGTTGCTCAAGCAAGTGGTAACATATTTAACCATGTACTTATATTAAAATCACAAACATTTTAAATTAAAACTTAAAATTGACAAAAACAGCAGACTCATACCTTTTCTTTTGCATAATTCAAATCTGTATACAATAAATCTTGCATGCCACAAATAACTTGTTTTTCCACCTCAACGAATGAGACGAGTGTCGTTCATTATGTGGCCTTGTTGAAGTAAATTTGTAGCTTTCTTTGCTTTACCCTGGTCTTAAAGTAAAAAGATGACTGTGAAAAAAGTAGTATTTAATTAAATGCATTTATGGTTACATTTTATTGAATTAAATACATTTATGGTGAGATTACTACATTTTATTGAATTAAATGCATTTATGGTGAAATTACTACATATTCAGGTCAGTCTGTGTTCATTTTGACCACGAACCGTGCGCTGTCACTTTAATTCAGCGTTTGCAGCACAGCAGAAATAGACTCGGTGCGGAAACGATCTCTGCACTGCTGTATACGCACCGCAACTGGAACGGATCGCCGGACCGCATCCGCGTGCAGTGTGAAAGCTCTAACCTGTTAAAGGGGTCATATAATGGTACATGCACTTTTACAAGTTGATTGTACTGAAATGTGTGTTGGCAGTGCCTGTACACAACCATCATATAATGATACAAATCCATCCAGTGGTTATGTTTTAATCTCCTTATATGTTTTCCCCTGCCTCAAATCAAGCCGTTCGACCGTGTGACGTTACACGGTCGGAAGCCCCTCCCACGATTGTTGATTGACAGGAGTGTCTCAACACAGACCCGCCCTCGCGGGTGAGATCAGTTCCATGAGAGAGCTGTCAATCATAGTCTGCGCGGACCGGCGCGGTCATTGTTGATATGCCGGAGCGCTGTCTATGAGCAGAATGGCGTCTAAGCGATTGTGGTGTTCTGTTCTTGGGTGTAATAACGAACACAGTCATTTTAATGTTCCTAAATCCGAACCGCTGAAGACGCAGTGGCTGAGTTTGTTTTCGAAGGGAATATTCCCCACGAGCAACGTCAATGCTCTCATGTTTGCGCGAATCATTTCTCACCAGACTGCTTTATAAACGAGGGTCAGTATAAAGCTGGATTTGCTAAGAAGCTGCTCATGAAAAATGGATCGGTAGCTGCTACCAGATATTCGTGTTCCTGCTGAATCTCCAGAAGAACGGAAGTGAGTGTAACGTTTTATTAAACTTTATATTAATATATTAATCTTTGCAAATCGCTAGCTGCACGCTTCACAATGAATGAGTCTAAGGTTTACACTCAGGGTACATTACGGCATGTTTTCTATGTATGACGTTCTCAATATAATTCATAATCCCACGTTTATACTGAACAACGCGTTATGGTTATTGTGTTATTGTGTTACAAACAGTGTACGCACAGAACAGAGGGGCGGAGTCAGCAAAGCTCATTATCATTTAAAGGCATATGCACTGAAACGGCTTGCTGAAAACAGAGCTGTTTTTGACCAGGTAAAATAAGTGTTTTCTTACAATACTAATGAGAATTTTTAATTAAAGTATATTACAAACTTTTAATTTAGACCCTAAAGAATCATATTAGCTTGTACAAAAATGGCATTATATGACCCCTTTAACATGGGTACGGAAAAAAATACGCACCGCATACGCACTGCAGACGGAGTATGTGTGAAACGGGCGTTACTCTTCAGCGTCTCAGCAAGATCATGACTTCAAAAACATGATTACATTCAAGTCATTTTAGTAACTTGATGCTTTAAATGCACTGAAAAAAATTAGATTTTCTATGAAAATGTGTGTGTGTGTGTGTGTGTGTGTGCGTGTGCATGTGTGTGTGCGTGTGTGTGTTGTCAGCAGACAGAGAGAAGTATAAGAGGGAAGTGTTTGCAGCAACATGGTGAAACAGTAATATGACACATGTCATGAATATGCATGACTCATTAGCATATAAATGAGCTGTAGATGTGTGTGTGTGTGTGTGTGTGTGTGAGATCAATAACGTGCTGCTGTGCATCAACATCATTGATAAACGTCAGCCGGCTTCTGATTGGCTGTGGGGTCTGTGTATGATTACAGGGACTGTGGGATGTGTGTGTGATGCGGTTTCTCTCTCTCTGATTGGTCATCATCACGCAGGTGTGATCATGTGACCCGAGCAGCCCGCGGGCAGAAGTGCACTTAACTGTAGCGAATGCACATGTGTAGTGTACTTCAAATCTTAAAAGTGTATTTTAAAGTGGGTCAAAAGAAAAGTTAATGGAATTGCATTTAATTTAAATGTAAAACTTTAATGCATTAATTGCAAATAACGTAATTAAGTGTTGGAAACGGGCTGGTTTGTGCTCTGACATGCACTGTGAGATCTTATAGAGACAGGTGTGTGTCCGCCACAGCTGGACTGAAACTGCAGAATTTAGAGGAAAATAATGAATTTAATCCGTTTTGGGAAAAGCCTTTAACAACAAAATGTGGAAAAACTGAAGCGCTGTGAATACTTTCCGGATGCACTGTATAATCTTTTACTGTGTATTATTTCTGTAATAATCACTCTTTTTAAGCGCACTTCTTTCCATCGGGCCGAACGCTGCTGTTTGTCGGATCTCAAACACTGAGTGTGTCGGTCCGCTCGACCCGTGCGCTGCAGTGCATTCTGGGTGACCTGATTCCCTGACCCCAATAGCTGTGCTTCTGTTGACCTCCATACACCAGTGGATCGTGACAGGCAGCGGAGTGTGTGTGTGTGTGTGTGTGTGTGTGTGTGAGCCTGTTAATTGACCCAGGAATAGTTATATCTCTTAAAAAATAATTTGAAACATTTGGGGGGAAAGTGTATTTTGTCTTTAATCCATGTAGTTTTTCCCGTACTAAAAACGGTGGCTTTTTTAGAAGTTATGAAATCTGACCTGAGGGCAACAGGTTAAAAAGAGACGCATTTCAGTTTTCATTCATTGTACTTCAGCATTCATGAAGTACAACCGTTTCAGTTCAGATCTTCAGATCACTGCTCAAAAACCCACAGCATTTCTGCACGTGAAAGCTGAAGTGTGTGTGGAAGGATGCAGAAGGAACCTGTGAAGTGTGTGTGCGTGCATGTGTGTGTGTGTGTGTGTGTGTGTGTGTTCTGGGCTCTGACCCCCTCGTCCGCCACAGTGATGTGATTTTCTCACACTCTGAATGAGGTTTTGTTGGCGGATCGGAGGGTCGTGGCTTTTGTGGGCGATGAAGGGGAAGTGATTTCTATTCACCTGCAGCTTCAATGAGGTGAAAAGAGTCCCGAGAATCCCTCCATCCTACATCTGTGTCTCTCGCCCGCTCGCTCTCTGTCTGTACACACTCCCGGTCAAACCTGCGGAACCATTCAGATGTCTTCATGTGTTTGAGTCTTGATCATCATCCCTGACAGTGAGAATCTGTCGGTCTTCATGTCTTGGTGAGGGTGTCAGATGTGTGTGTTAACGGGTGTCAGATGTGTGTGTGTGTGTCTGTGTGTGTTAAGGCCACAGTCGAGGCCGATCACACACACACTGAGCCGTCTTTATTCCCGAGCGGACACACTGATCCCGGGATGCTGAGTGGGAGGCAGAGTCTCACCTCGAGAAGCCTCTGAGACGAGTGTGTGTGTGTGTGTGTGTGTGTGTGTGAGGATCACGAGTTCACAGCGCCTACGCCAGTCAGTCCGCATCACCGCGAGGAGAGAGTCTAAACACAGGCGGTGTGTGTGGTGTTGAGTGTCATCTTTCATTCATCAGGCTTTTATTGCTCATATAATCAGATATATTGAGAATACAGAGGAAAAACAGCTCAGACTCGTGTGAGTGTGTGTGTGTGTGTGTGTGTGTGTGTGTGTGAGTGTGTGTGTGTGTGTGTGTGTGTGTGTGTGTGTGTGTGTGAGTGCGTCCCAGTTCACTCCTCTGCCCTAGATAGTGTGCCAGATTAGGGTCATCACGTGCTATGGTGTAGGTGACGGGTGGTGTACGAGAAAAATCATCATGGCATCGTTTATTAATAAGAACTTCCTATTGTTTGATTTTATTTAGTCAGAAATGAGCATTAGTTAACTACACTAGTAAACATGAACTAATAATGAACAATACTTTCTAAACTTAGTTCATTTCAACATTTACTAATGCATTTAAAAAATCAAAAGTTGTATCTTTTAACATTAGTTAATGCATTAGCACTATAAACATGAACATGAATTTTTCTAACATTAAACATTACTATTTACATGCTTTATTGCAGAAGTTGAAAGCGCTTAAAAAAATTAAAGTGTAAAAAAGTTATAGATGTTTACTGTAAAGCAAATGCACTGTACTAAACATTTATATTTTATACATAATATATATATATTACAAAATAAGTTGGACTCTAAAATTGCTCTAAAATCAAAGCTGTGTTCCAAATTTGAAGTTGACATCCCCAAAAATAGGATTTTATTTATGCGCTTTAACGCTCACACGTTCTGCTGTGACAAATGAATATGTTTCTGTCATAATATCACAGTCGCCAAACATGCAAACTTTCCAGCTCTTCAACTCCATGTGCAATCTGTCAAGATTAG